ACTTCATTAAATGAGACACAGGGGTAAAGGAGGAGAGTGGCAGAAGGCACCTGAGTGATGTGAGATGAGGAAGAGGGAGCTCACAGCAAGTGGCCTCAATTTTTTTTCCTGTAAAATATGAAGCAAAGTTCTCAGATGAGAGAGGGAGCCATGGGAGCCAGGGACGGAAGACTTGGAAGAGCCACTGTGGAGACTAGGATAGTGAATTGATAAGGGAGGTATGGTAGGACTGCCTAGGACAGGGGTGGGGAACCTGCCACCCTCGAGGACCTAGTGGGCCATTTGTGGCCTTGAGGTTCTCCACCCCTGGCTAGGAGCAGTGAAGGTTCAGTTGAGGGTATGTAACATGTAACATAAGCTTATAGTGTACCCAGTCAGAACAGTCCCCAGGTCATAGTATGAAGACTAGAGTTGTATAAGGAAAGGCAGGGGTAGAGGTGAAAAGCTAATAGATTATGGTCAGTTAAGGGGATTTCAGAATTCTTGAACATAGATGTGGTGCATTTGTAGGTGATGGCAAGATCTAGGGTAAGGCCATCTTTTTGTGTGGCTGAGATGGAGTGGAGGAGCAGATCGTGGGAAGTGAGTAAGTTGAGTGGTTCAACTATTTGAGGAAGAGCCAATATGTATATTGAAGGACACTAATATGAGGGCAGGAGTTGGAGAGGAGAGAAAAACTATGAGTCAGGTAACGAACTCACTGAAGGAGGAAGGAGAAATACCTGGGAATCAGTAGTCAACAGTTACTAGGATTTTGATTGGGTTGTAGATATGAGTAGTGTCAACTCTCAAAGGAAGGGAAGTTACTGAATAATGGAGGAAGGAGGAGAACCTGGAAATGGCAATGGGGGTTGCGGAATATTTAAACTCCCCTGCCTATACCAGTGAGCTGAGGAAAATGAGTGAAGGTGCAGCCAGTACTGGAAAGGGTGGCCAGGGAGGCTGTGTCATCAGTGGAAAGTCAGCTTTCAGTAAGCTGATGGGAGGAAAAGATTTAAGATGAAAGGAAATCTCTTGCCTATGGAACAGGCATTCCAGAGGGCACCGTGGAAGGTCTAGATGGAGTTAGGATGAAATTTTGGGGTGGAAGGGTTGAGGGGAATGGGAATGAGGAGTCAGGTGATGGAGGATGATGAATAGGGTTTAGATGATGATCTGTAGGAGTTCAGAGTCACTGGGATGTGAAGAATATGACCAGTTGTGAGAATGTTCATCACTGAGTTTACAATGCCACTCTTCTTTCCCACAGAGGTTGAAGGTAAGGCTGGAGGCCAGCACAATACAAGATGTTTGCCTCAGTTTTCTCAACTGTAAAATGACAATAAAAATAGCACCTAAAATGAGGTATTTGCAAAGTGTTTTGCAAATCTTAAAGTGCTATATATAAATGCTAGTTACTATTATTGTTATTATTCTATAGTTGGCAAGGCATTATGGATAAGCATTTTTCCATGTATGGTTTCCATACCAGAATCCACTCTGACCATGATATGGACTTTGAAAGCAAATAGCTTAAAGAGGTCTCAGCCTTGTCAAGAATCAAGTCTAGAATTATACCTTATCATTCTCAGGGAGACCCAGAGCAAAGCAAAAATGGAATGCCATATACATTGCATTCATTGCTGCCAAGAATGACGTTATAGCCTTTATACTCTATAACACTCAATGTCTGGGCAAGGGCCAGGGGTTTGCTGAATGACATGGAGTCTCCGTAAATGGAGAAAACACGGAGGCTTGTGATCTATCTCTGTCTGAGTCTATCTCTGAACTGAAAGATTGGTTGAAAGAAGCCCAGCTAGCCACGGATTCAGTCCATGAGGGTAGCAATAGACATGAGCAATCATGTGACACTTAAGTCTACTGTCAACATCTTCACTGAAGGGCTGGATTCCTACTAAAATTGTGGTGTGCATGGTATATTCAATGAGGTCATCAACAAGCTTTTAGGAAGTACTAACTACATACCAGTCCTGGGGATACAAAGAAGAATAAACAGAACTATTCACTGCCCTCAAGAGCTTACATTATATCTGAGAGACGCAAGATGGCAGACTGATGAGAAACCATCCTATCTGAAGAATTTGAAAAATCGGGCAATTTGCCAGTCTAGAGGCAGCCTGTTTCAGGGGAAAAACAAAGTAATCACCGAATTTAGAGTCAGAACACCTCGATTTGAATCCCGGCTCTGCTAACTACTACTTCTGTGACCTTGGACAAATCACTTAACCTCACTGGGCCTCAGATCTCATCTGTAAAAATGAGGGGATTGGTCTAGGTGCACTTGGAATTCCCTTTCAGTTATTAATCTTTAATCCAGAAAACAGCTGGAACCCTGCAAATACAATATAACACACTCACCTATTTCCCATTGAGGAGTTAGTCAGACTTCCTCCTGGGCAGAAGGAAAGGCAAGAAAGATAGCGAGTGGGCCAGTGGCCTGGGGGAGGAAGGGCCTGATCACTAGTTGCAGAGAGACTGTTCGAGCCTGATAATAGTTCAGAATATGTTGACTCATAAGAGGAAGAAACTGGGTGTTGCAACCCACCACAGTTAGGGAAACCAACCAAGATTCTCCCAGCCCCAAGGGGACCTTCCTTCATACAAGGTGGAGGACTGAACCTAGAAATAGCCTTTTTCTTTGCTAATGCTTCAGTTTCGGAGGCTTCAAATGAACAGAGAGGATGTCCATAGAGTCTGATGAGAGTGACACCCTTATCCCCCCACCAGCTCAGCTGGGGTCTCCTGGCCAGGGGAAGATACTGCCAGACTGTCTGGGCCAGCCACAGGCTTAGACTGAGATCCCAGTGTGAGTGTAACTGGCGTCTTAGGCTAGAAGCCAAGCTAAGGAACGATACTGTGTTAGGACAAATGAGAGAAGTGGTTTTTCACTCAGCCAAATGAAGGCAATTATTGCAATGCAAGTAATATGTGTTTTGTGGCTTATTGAAAGAGATACTAAATATAACAGAAATCAACATTGCATTATGGCTTTATGTTTGCTGTGTGACATGCTTTTGTAAAAATAAATTTCATATATATATATATTTTCTACATCACCTAAATTTCCCTTTATCCTTTCCCCACTCCCTGTCAGAGAACCAACCTTCATAACAAACTGATTTTTTCAACAAGAAAAAAGAGGAGGAAAAAAATCAACAAAATGGATCAACACATAGAAAAAACTTTCACACTACATACAGTGTTACACATCCATGGATGTCTCCAAGCTCCCCACCACAGCCACCAGCTCTGCAAAGAAGTGAGAAGATGTGTTTTCTCAAATCTCTTCTTTGGGGCTGAACTCATTCTTTGTAATTTTATGCAATAGACCTTCACAGTTGTGGTTCTGTGTATTAGCCAGGGGTACGCTGGAACCAAGTTCCAAAGAGCTGGTTTGTTAAATTTTCATTTTGAGCATTTATACCATGGAAAGTGACAAACACTACAAACCTGGACTTGATTTATTATTTTATTGATTACCTAGGCTTAAGAAAGCAATGGAGAAATGGCAATTATATAGACTAAACCAAAAAGTGTGTTACAGGGACTTTTTTTTTCTGGAGAGCTGGTTGTTAAACATTTATTAGCACACTTCTGGTTAGTATGCTATGTTGTGTGTGCTCTCCTGCCATATGTATATATAATATGTTTCTGTAGGGAATCTCTGAATTTCATCAGTAGCTCTTTATATGTTGTTTTGTTTAATACTGCACTGAGAATCGTGTCTTTGGTTTGATATAGGGCGTAGGTTCAGTGGCTAGAGCGCCTGGCCTGGAGTCAGGAAGAATTATTTTCCCGAGTTCAAATCCAGCCTCAGACATTTACTAGCTGTGTGACCCTGGACAAGTCACTTCATCCTGTTTGCCTCAGTTTCCTCATCTGTAAAATGAGCTGGAGAAGGAAATGGCAAACCAATCTAGTATATTTGCCAAGAAAACCCCAAATGGGGTCACAAAGAGTCAACATTACTGAAAAATGACTGAACAACAACAAAATTGTTTCCATCACATGCATCAATGCTAGAAGCATTCAGTTCTAGCTTGAATACCACATGTTAAGTAGTTTTGTATCACGGTGTTATGGGGGAAAGAGTGCCAGATTTGAAGTCAGAGGACCTGGGTTTTAATTCTCATCCTGCAACCTATGTGACCTTGGGGAAGTCACTTAACTCCTCGGGTTCTCATTTTCCTTATCTGTAAAATAAAGGGAAATTGAACCAGATAATCTCTAAGGCTTCTTGCAATTTTAAATCTATGATACTAATTATCACCACCACTGCTAGTTATTTTTCAGTTTCTATTGCTTATGATGTATGTTCCTAGATATTTGAGCGGATACCATGTAATTGATTAGGGCTACAATTTTTCCATTCTTCAGGGGAGAATATTGGGAAACTGGATTTTTGCTATCCAAAATACACTCATAAATTCATGTCGTTTTCTGCTGACAGAGGTATATAATAAAGGTAGGAGTGAGGGCTAGGTAGTTAGAAGACCTTGTCTCCTTATCTTTTGTTCTGACTCAAATTAATTTGCGTGCCAGGTCAGAAAGGATCTTGGGGAATTCTAACCCTAAGTCAGATGTAGGGTCAGAACTGTGATAAGAGCCTCAGACACACAGGTTAAAAGACTTAATCTTTTCCTGTAAGCATCTTGTTTGGTTTTTGTTAGCAGGGTATGGCAGTTTATAGCTTCTGACTATGACTAAAAAGCTATTAGTCTGCCCTGGTGAGTGAAAAGCTTTTTTTAGAAACATCATCTTAGCCGACGGGAGCTAAGATGACCAGGAGATGTCCCTAAAGAGATGTAGGCCAGAAGCTGGTGGTAGGGAACAATGCCTAGCAGTAGCTAGGACACCAGCAGGATAATTCACCTGGAAAAGAGCAAAGAAGAGAGACAGGGACAGAGACAGAGATAGACAGACAGAAACAGAGACACACAGAGACAGAGAGAGATAGGGGTTGAGAAGAGCAGCAGAGACATTAACCATGTGATGCTCAGAAGCAGGCTCAGCATAGAGCAGTGCCCTGCAAGGAGCAAGTCCAAAGAGGAAAGGACCTTGACGTCACCAGAAGACACCAGCGGCCCTGCTACCCTGGAAATGTGAGCTGAACCTCTATGTCTGTTCTCAGTCACACGTGTTCGTCCATGTAAACTCCCAAGCACCAGCCACATGCATAGCCTGTGTTTATGCCCTGACACCTGGACTTTCCACATGCCCACTTTTCCCTTTGATGGGGTATGTAATTGTGGGAGAGATTGCCCCAGATTTACCGTGGGGGAGACTCCATCACTACTTTTCTTACTATGCTATTTAACTTGGAAATAATTGTGTCCTTTGGGTAACAAGTAAAGGCAGACATAGATGTCTTGAAAGCTATGATTTTGAGTGGATGTGGACCCTTAGAATACCTTAAATATAGAATAGCTTTTCTGAGAGCTCCTCATATAAAGGGGCTACACATATATATATACAGTATACATTAAAGTATTAGAGGTAGCTAGATGTCTAAGCACTGGGCTTAGAGTCAGGAAGATCTAACCTCAGATACTTACTAACTGTGTGACCCTGGACAAGTCACTTACCCTTTGTTTGCCTCAGTTTCCTCAACTGTAAGGTGCAGGTAATAATAGCACTCACCTCCCAGGATTGTTGTGAGGGCCAAGTAAGATAATAATAGTAAAAGCACTTAGCACATCGTCTGGCATGTAGCAGGTATTTGATAAATGCATATTCTCTTTCTTTCCCACTCCTTCCACCCCTCACCCAGCCACGGATTTATGTGAGGGCTTGTTTCCCCACTAGTAGAGTATAAGCTCCTTGAGGGCAGGGACTGTTTACTTTTTGTCTTTTGGGTCTATTTCTGGTCTATCCTGTGTTTGGTACTGTCAGCCGGACCAGAAGCAGCCTCTAACCTGTGAGTGGCCAGAGCCAAAACAGAGTAGGTTAGAGACAGGAAAGTCAGGACGCAAACAGAAGTTTAATTAACTTCAGAGCAAGGAAAAGGACACCTGCAGGTGGGTCCCCCCCTTCCTAAGAAGGAAGGCTATGGCTGGGGTCACTTATATACACGAAAGGGGTTGGCCCTCAACACAATCATTCTTAGATCTTGAGATCCTTCTCATGGTTAGCATTCCTTGGGACAATACAGGTGCTCTTGGGTCCTGTGGGCACAGTCATTGTCTCAGTTGTTGTGTGTCATGACCACTCATCACAGAGTTCTGTGATGGGAACAGGAGTGCAGTACCTGTCAGTGACAAGGAACAGGCATTGTGAACATATGATGGAAGGCCCTGGGAAATAAGGGGAGCTAAATTCCTTAGGGAACACCTGGTGCTGGTCCAAGCGATACGCTTTGCCAGAGGGTGAGATCAGTGCAGGGCACAAAGGATTATTGTTTTGCCAAACTCAGCACAGCCTGCTTACTGGGCCTTAGCTTTGGAAAACAGGGTGTCTCCAAAATGTTTTGACAGTGTAGTGCCTGATGCAATAGGAATTTAATGAATGCCTTCTTGAATTAATGAGATGAAGTTTTCCTAGAGGGCCAAGTCAGCTCCTCCATCTGGCACCTCCTGAATGGGGGACTTTTAACCCCCCTGAGCCTCAGTTTCCTTAGCTATAAAACGGAGATAAACATACTTTCACTCCCTACCTTACAGGGCTGTTATCAGGAGAGTGCTCTCTGTGAATTGTAAACTGACAATGGAAACAAATTTTTTTTTTAGCATTCCCACTAACATCACGTATTTCAGAGACACTCTTCTTCTAGACCACTTCTCTTTTCTCTCCAATTATATTTTATCATTTCAATCCTAGGGAAATCCCACCAAAGGTCAGATAGGAAAAATGGTAGATGGGTATTAGGAGATGATATTGCTGTCTGGCCACGGTTAGATAAAGAACTTTCAGTTGTTATCCAAGTTGAGGGGATCAGAGCCCCCAAAGGGAACAACCTTCTTGGGGATTGGACCCAAATATCGTGGAGCTTTACGGAGGTCATGTGTCCATCTTGCCTGCTATAGCAAAGACCCCTTATACCTTCTTCCCTCCAGGGTTTAGTCACTATGGTTAGGCCCTTCCCAGGGCCCAACTTCTTTCATGATCCCACTGACTTCATCAGAATGTTGTCTTCCTAGGCATAAGAATTCCTGCTTACCACTCTTGTGGGTATAGCCAATACTTAAACTATCAACATTTTTTCACCCATTTTCAAAAACATATGCTGTCCAGGGTCGGGGACTCTATGTGTGAACAGAACAACTCATTGACATTTGCATGGAGTGATTCCAGGGGAACTGAAAGGTCCCTCTTCCCCTAACTAATTCTCTGACTGCCCTGCTGCGGTGCCTGAAATTCCTGAAGTGAGAGTTTTAAATACAATACAATAATATTAATTCTAATTAATAATACTGTAATGATATTAATACTACTAATATTTAAATAGAAAGTATACCATACTAGTACTAATAATATTCAAATAGGATAAAATAATATGCTAATAATAATAATAATAAGTAATTAGAATAACAGCTGGTATTTATTTAATGCTTTAAGGTTTGCAAAGTGCTTCCAATACATAGTGGCTAAAAAGCTGGCCTGGAAGTCAATAGGAACTGGGTTCAAATTCTGCCTTTGACACAAATGGGCTGTGTAAGCCTGGTCACATCACTTAACCTCTCAATGTCCCAAGCTGCTGTCTAGAACTATAAGCTGCCAAAGAGATGGTAGAAGGAGTTTCCTCACCTGGAAGTTCCCTACAAAAAGAAATCACAGGCGCTGCCCTATCCCAAATAATAATGGTTAAATTAAGGGTAGGAACCCAAGGTCACACGTGGCCTTCTAGGTCCTCTGGTACAACCTTTTGACTGAGTCCAAGCTCTACAGAACAAATCCTTTTATTAAGGGGATTTGTTCTGTGAAGTTTGGATTCAGGCAAAGGGCCGCCCTTGAGGACCTAGAAGGCCATGTGTGGCCTCAAGGCCACAGGTTCTCCACTCCTAGTAGATACTTGTCATAGTTAAGTTTTTAAAAATTATGCATTAGTAATGGTTAAATAGAGTAACACACATAACACTGTTCTCACACATCAAAAAAAGTACACAATCACTTTCTATGGAATTCAACAATGAATTCCATATATCTGCATGAGTCATCACTTCTTCCTGCAACATCTTAATTTAGCCACCTTATAGTTTTCAGTTGCTAAGTTGCTTCAGTCGTGTCCAACTCTTCATGACCCCACCTTACTGTTTCCTTGGCAAAGATACTGGAGTGGTTTGCTATTTTCTTCTTATTTTACAGATGAGGAAACTGAGGCACACAGGGTTAAGTGACTTGCCAAGGGTCACTCAGTTAGTAAGTATCTGAGGTCAGATTTGAACTCAGGAAAATGAGTCTTCCTGACTCCAGACCCCAGACTCTCCGCACTATGGCGCCCCCTAGATGCATTGTCCTAATTCCTTTTTGATCAGTTGACCTTTCCACATGTGAGCCTAAATTGATTGATGTTACAGGGCTCGGTACAATTATTTTTAAAAGGCTTTACCCTGAAAGGCAAAGTAATCCATTAATATACTTTCTTTTATTAACTATCTCTGGGAGCATGAGACAGAGGACTGACAAATTCAGACGCAGTGGATAGGTCTAGGGCATTGACTCCGGGAGAGATGCTTGCCTTCAGACTCAGACAGAGTTTGTTCTAAGAAAAGACAAATGAAATCAGGTTGTGTCCACTTTTTAACTTTCTCTGAAGCTGGTCATACACATTCATTGCATGGGAGTTATAGTCCAGAATTGAGCCCCACTAAGGGAGTCAGTCCAGAACTGGCTCGATTTGGAGGTTGGGGGCACAGAGTTATACGCCTTTCAAAGACCAGGTGTTCCCAAGGGGTGCCAATCAATTCTGATTGGTCAATACACTGGGAAGTGGGCTATATTAAAATGATGGTCTTGGGGTTGGTGACTCAGGTCACTCAATCTTGGTCAAAGAGACATTGATTTCCATATCACCTGTCTTGCCAATAGGGAGGAATTAACATTCTCCAAGACCTATCTGGGCAATACAATGAGCAGGAATAGAACCTTTAGATTAGATCTTAATGTCCTTCTGAAGGAGCTGAACTGTATGAGAAAGGGGAATGGGGGAAGCTCTGAGTCTCCAAGATAATGATTACTAAGAAAAATCATTTTTCACGTTGTGAAATTTTCAGTGTGAACTTTTACACCCCAGCACATGCTCCAAATCAGGGCTTGAGTTATTGATTTGTTGATTGTCTAGACTTAAGAAAGTGATGGTGAAAATGTTAATGCAGATTCAGCTTTGAAGTGTGTCCAGTACACTTTTTCTATTTCATAGAGCCAGTTATTAAACATTTATCAGCACAACCCTGACTGGTTCCCCATCTTTTTGGGATGAGGACACTTTTTTAATGTTTAAAAATTTCATGGCCTTCTTCTTGGCTCCTGCCCCGCTTTCATGATAGCTGCTATACATTCGTATTTGTCAATCAAGAAAATACAAGATATGGTTAATGTGGACCTTTGTTTTGCTGGACTGTGCAGCTAGGTATCGAAGGCTTAAGTTTTCAGGTTTTTAAATATTTGCTTAAAGGGAGGGAAAGTAGGAGGGACAGATTAATAAAAATACTTATTAAATAAAAGAATAAACTTTTAAAAAAAGAAAATGTATGATGGTCAAAACCTACTAAAAATTCTGAAGGCCTGTTTGTTTATTTGTCCTGTTGAATCACCTTTCTCATTCTGATAGAGCTACATAGGACAGTGCTCTGTACAAACAGGGACTTCCAGGCTCTTCTTGTTATCTCTGAAGACATCTCTCTCTCTCTCTCTCTCTCTCTCTCTCTCTCTCTTCTCTCTCCTCTCTCTCTCTCTCTCTCTCTCTCTCTCTCCTCTCTCCCTATAGACCCCTTTCCTCTTTTTCTTCTTTCTTTCTCTCCCCCTTTCTCTTTCTCTCTTCATCTCTGATGTCTCTGTCTGTCTGTCTGTCTGTCTGTCTGTCTGTCTCTCTCTCTCTCACACACACATGCACACACACACACACACACACACACACGTATCTGGAGTCTGTTCTCTAAAGGAACATGACCAGGGAGGGGGTTTACCTCAGTGTGGAGTTGGCAGGAGGGCATCAGTCTTCATGAGGAGAGAGGAAGTGGAAAAAGAGCCCTGAATCATAACCCACATAGTTTTGTCTAATCTCTGCTCTAGCCACAGAATTGTCTGGGGGTTTTTTTTGTTTATTTTTTTTGTTTTGGGTTTTGGTCCTCTTATTCAAAGCTAATTGGCCTGTATGGGAATTGGGATCTAAACTAGGTTTAGGATTTTTTTTTAAACAGCCAAGAGGAACCTTAAAAGATACAGCATTAGAGTATAAAATGTTGTGACATAAAATGTTAGAGCTGAAAGAGGCCTTAGGACTTTGAATGTCAGCACTGAAAGGACTTTAGGGCAGAGAGGTAGGGTAGTGGAGAGACTGATAGACTTTGAGTCAGGGTTAAGTGACTTGCCCAGGGTCACCCATCTAGTAGGTGTCTGCAGCCAGCACTCTATTCATTGCATCATCTAGCTGATTTGGATTTGGAGGAAACCACTTAAATTCCAGCTCTGGTAGAATTATGTGGCCTTGAGCAAGTCATCTACCCTTTCTAAGCCTTTTTCCTCATCTGTAAAATGAGGCATTTTGTCTAGATCAGGGGCTTTTAACCTGGCATTCATGAACTTAAAAAAATAAATATTTGGAAAACAGAATTTTATATAATTTTTTCCTTTATAAACCTATTAATTTTATTTTATACTTTTAAAAATATTCTTCGGAGAAGGAATGAAAAGACTTCACCAGACTGCCAAAGGGTAGGTCAAGACATTAAGAAGGATAAAAACCCCTGGAGTCTAGAAGATTACCAAAGCAGAAAAGTTCTAACATACATGTGTACCTATCCCAACCTAGCTTATCTTCATTTAGTATGTATATTTAATAAATTGATATATGGTACATATATGTAGTATACTTAGTATATATAGCACACGTATGTAGTATATTTAGCATATATAGTACACATACATAGTATATTTAGTGTATATATAGTACACATACGTAGTATATTGTGTATATATAGTACACATATGTAGCATATTTAGTATCTGTAGTACACATACGCAGTATATTTAGTATCTGTAGTACACATACGTAGTATATTTAGTATATGTATGTATATATATATATATATATATATATATATATATATGTACATCACAGGTGTCAAACTCAGTGCTTCTGCTGTTGCAAAACTTCCTGGTGCAGCTTGAACCAGATCAAAATGTAATTAGGAAATGTTTAACAAAATAAATAAAAATACAATACAGCATAGATAATGTTAATTTGTGATTTTCTACATGCTTTCTCCCCTAGTGAAATGGGCGCTCTTGGAGGTTAGGTTTCATCTTTGACTCCTTAGCACTTAGCACAATGCCCAGCCTATAGTAAGCACTTCAGTGCCTGTAGATTAAGAGATTGATTGATTCTATGTTCTCAGGTTGTTTGGGGCTGTGACAATCTATAATAAGCCCTAATGAAAGAGCTGAGTCAGAGCTGACAGCTTATCACATACCCTTACTGAAGCTTTTCCTTTTTTTTTTTAGGCAATTGGGGTTAAGTGACTTGCCCAGGGTAACACAGCTAGTAAGTGTCAAGTGTCTGAGGCCAGATTTGAACTCAGGTCCTCCTAACTTCAGGGCCAGTGCTCTATCCACTGCGCTACCTAGCTGCCCCCTTATGGTAGCTTTTACAAAGTGCTTTTATATCCATGTTCTCATTTGATTCCTTCAACTGTCCTGTAAAGGAGGCAAGGAAATTAGTTTTAACATCATTCATCAAACAGTAATTTAAAATCACGCTGATCAAAGGAGATAATATTTGTAAAGTGCTTGGATCAGTGTTCAGCGCCTAGCAGATGCTTAATAGACGCTTCTTCACCCCCATCATGACGCAAGAGGTCATCTGATCAAGCCCTTTCTTCATCCTACAAATGAGGAAACTGAGGCCCAGAGAGGCCCAGTGCTTTGCTTGAGATAACATAGGTAGTTAAGTGGCTGAATTGAGTTTTGTACCCAGGAGCTGGAAGCTAAGGGGGGAGGGGTTGTGGCATCTTTTGGACAGTCCCTCTGCTGTCCAAGAAGACCGGGTTGCTCAGAATGGCCCACTTGGCTGCCCTCTTACCTGACATTCTGTTTCCCGCCCTTTGCCTTTGCCTAGGCTGTCCTCTACTGCTGGTACACCGTCCCTCTTTTGTCTCTGTTTCTTATAATTCTAAGTTTACTTCAAAGCTTAGCCCCAACCCCTTCACCTACACAAGGTCTTCCCTTATCCCTACCCCTAGCTGCTAGTGTCACCTCACCCTGCTCACCCTTCTGCTTACTCGGAACATTTTTTTGTATTTATTCATGTGACATGGTATTTGCCCCGATAGAGTGTAAGCTCCTTGAGGCCTCTCTATCCTCAGCACCTAGCACAGTTCTTGCCACATAGTAGGTGGGCATTTAATAAATGCTGGTTGAATGAATGGGTGGATGAATGCATGAAACCTGGCACAGGGGTTCACGAGAATTAGGCCTGGAAGGGATGATCTAGTCCAGTCCCTTCATTTTATAGATGAGGTAGGAGGAGATTAGTCAATGTACTTGAGTTTCCTCCAATGCCCTTCCTTATCACTGGGTTTCCCGACCTAGGATTTCACTATTCCATAGGGGAAAGACTGTTTAGCAGCTATCAGTCTTGGTTGACAAGTGATACCCAGAGCCATATAATAGGGGCTGGGTACCAATATGGGAAAGGAGGTTTGCTCTTCCTCATCACGTCAGTTCTTCGTGAGAGCTCCCTGCTTCCCTGTCTAGCCCTAGGTTGTTATCTCAGCTTCCTGTCACCATTCCTTGACCCTCTCCTCAATCCTGATATCCCTTCTTCCTGAAACCTTCACCTACCAGAGAACTGGAGTCCATATGGTAGGAGCGAGGGCCAAACTCTTCTGAGAGATTCTCAAGGCTGCTCCACCTTGACCCACTACCCCTAACTGTGGTTATAACATGCCACTTCTGGGTCCAGGGAGTCCCACGATATGCCTTTCACAAGGACCCCCGGGGATGAGGATGATGACGTTGGAAGGTGTTGGTGCACTGGGGATCCTGATGCTTCCCTTCTCCTTCATCCCCCCAGCTGAATTTGCCTGGGGTGCCAGAAGTCCTTGTTATGGATCTGGCTCCATCTCTGTTTATTCCCATAAACTAAGTTTCATCTTTTGGGGGGCTTGGGCATCTTAGGAATATATAGAAAATCCAAAGGCCTCCGAGTGTCTCACCACCAACGCCGTTCTCACAGCTAAGGAAGTCGACAAGATGTATGCCTGCTTTGCTGTCCAAGACAAGCTCATGGAGAGGCTAATGCTCAACGAGATGAAGCTGAAAGTGCTGGAGAACCAGATGTTCATCATTTGGAACAAAATGAACCGCAGGAAAAGGTCTTGCACCCGTTACAAGATCCCTTCCTCAGCCAAGTACCACTGTAGAAGAAACTGCATCTCCTCCGCCTCGGGCTTCAGCTCGAATTCCCTTGGGCCTTGCTGACCTCTCCCCCCATTGACTAGTAGTAAACACTAATGCTTGACACTTGCCTTCTTTTGAGTAAATTTCAACCTTACAGGTGACAGGGAGTGGGCCAGGAGGATCAGAGCAGAGAGAAGCCTTCTCAGGCCAATCTCCCTGGGGCCAGGGAAGGAAGCCCGGCAGGGGTGGAGTAGGGACCCCAGATGGATGCCCTTGTTGGAGGAATCCCAGAGGAGACTGCCAGGAAAACTACGAGGCAGGAGGGGGGAGCCAGGGGGTGGGGGGTGGGGGGACAGAGGACACCCTGGGGAAAACTGCAGGAAAAGCTGTCTGGGAAAGTTCAGGAGAATCCCCTGGGAGAAAGGTAGGGAGCTCTGGTAAAACTCCATGAGAAGCCTTGGGGAATACACACAGGAAGCTCTTGTGTGTCTAGGGGATGCCCCGGGGGCCGGGGAATAGCAGGGGAAGCCCTCGGGGGAGACACTGGGAAATGCTATGGGGGAGGGGGGAAGCCCTAGATGTGTGTGGGTGTGGGAGGAAGAGGAGAAGGAAATCTGGAGGGGAAGCCACATGGAAAAGAAAGCTTTGGGGTGGAGGGTGCTCTAGGGAAACCAAAAGAGAAGGGAAGGGGGGAAAGGGCTGCTCTGAACGAGGCCTTAGGAGAAATCCTGGGTTGAGGCATCACAGATTTAAAGCTGCAAGGAAACGTGGAGGTGATTGAGTCCTACCTTCTCATTTTTCAGAGGAGGAAACTTGGCCCCCATACTGGTTAGGTGATTTTTCCCAGGGTTGCTCAGCAAGTAGTGTCTGAGACCAGATCAGAACTCAGATCTTCCTGACTCCAGGCTCAGTGGTCTCTGCTCACTGTAGCAGGCTCTGTCTGCAACAGCTCTGAAGGAACTACAAGAGAGGTTTTGGGTGATATAAATTGGGATGGAGGGGTTGGTAGAAATAGCAAGGAAAGCCCCTGGGGGAAAGCCCTTGGGAGAACTGGAGGGGATGATCTGGAGGGCAATATGCCCTAAAGAACCTTCAGGGGAGGTTTTGGGGGCAGGGGAGGCTGCAGAGGAGGATGCCTTGAAAGGAAAGCTTGGCAGTAGGGGCAAGGTCACTGGATTTGTTAGCAGGAGACCTGGATTTGAATCCTGTCTTGACTTGGATGGTTTTTTTTTTTTTGGAGATGTTTTCTTGTCTCACCCGGGCTGGAAACGCAACAGCCACTCATGGACTTCCACTCACTGTTGATTGGTACAGAAGCTCTGACCAGTTCTTTTTCTGATCTGGAATGGTTTGTCCCTCCACAGGAAGCTGAGTGACCTCATTTCTGGGGGCTCATGGTGTTGACACTAGACTTAATGCAGACATCTGATTGACTTTGGCCCAACTGCAGCTTAGAGCTCCTGAGGTCAAGAGACCCACCAGCCTGAGCCTGTCCTGGAACAGGGACGTGGGGCAGGGGGCACCACTCCTAGCTGATACTGACACTTTCTATTTGAATGATCTTGGTCAAGTCACTAAATTTCTCTGATGCTCAGTTTTCTCCTGTTTTGGAAAAATTAGGGGATTGACTGAGTAGCCTCTGAGACGTCTTTCAGTGATAAATCCTGTGATATCTCTGTGGAGAAGAGATTATCTAGTGAAATTCTGAAAGCTAATAAGTCTTACTGAAGGAAGGTATATCTATATCTATATGTACATACAGTTATATGGATAATATGTGTGTATGTACACACACACACACATATGTATGTATTTTTTTTCCTCATCATAACTTCAGACCATTCCTGCTCATTAATATCTCTGGTGCTAAAGAGACCTTTCTTTTTCCAGAAGAGTTTGGGAATATGAGGTAGTATTGCACAGTTAAAAGACCATAGAAATTAAAGTTTGAAGTTTACAAAATAAAAATTTGACTCCAGAGAAGTGATGAAAACATGTACCTGCTTCCCTTCTTTGTAGAGGTGGGGGACAGTGAGTATGTATTGTCAGACTCAAGTGATATGTTCGTTAGTTTTCCTGATGTGTTCTCTCTCCCACCCTTGCTTTTTTATTCTTTGTTACAACAAATGATTTGCTAGGTAGGACATGTAAGCAAGTGTGCATGGAGGGCGCGCGTACACACACACACACACACACACACACACACACACACACAGGAATGAAACCTATATGAAAACAAAAGTTATCAATTGAAAACAAAAACTTTTTCCAAACGTCCCACAAATTCTAATTTTGGATGGACCAAATTCTCTACTGTTGTGCACAAAATATAAGACCTAGAGAAAAGTGTCCGGCTCAATAGAATCCTTTGTGGAAGATCTATGGGAGAATATGGTCCTGGCTTAACCAGTTATGATGACCTCAGACTCTGGGCCTCAATGTTCTCATCCTTCAGATGAGGGGGCTGACTTTAGATGACCTCTAAGATCCTGTCCAGTTCTAAGGTTTTGAGGCAATGTAGGAATTTTAAGAAAAGAGGGTGGCTACAAGACATTGAGAACACAGCCTATACCTTCTCATTGACGCTCAAGGAAAGCATTGAGGGGAGGGGAACAGGAAGGAACTCCGGAGAGTGAGAGAAGGGTCTTGGATCCCAGTGTATAAAGAGTCTATTCCATTCCAAATGAAGGCTAGATGACCTCTCATCATGAAGAGGGTCTTGGATCCCAGTGTATAAAGAGTCCATTCCATTCCAAACAAAGGCTGGATGACCTCTCATCATGAAGAGGGTCTTGGATCCCAGTGTATAAAGAGTCTATTCCGTTCCAAACGAAGGCTGGATGACCTCTCATCATGAAGAGGGTCTTGGATCCCAGTGTATAAAGAGTCTATTCCATTCCAAACGAAGGCTGGATGACCTCTCATCATGAAGAGGGTCTTGGATCCCAGTGTATAAAGAGTCTATTCCGTTCCAAACGAAGGCTGGATGACCTCTCATCATGAAGAGGGTCTTGGATCCCGGTGTATAAAGAGTCCATCGACTGCACAAAGGTAGGATGACGACTCATCATGTAGGTGATCAATGGGACTCATTTTTCAGCTGCGGTTTAGTCCAGATGGCTGCTGAGGCTCCTTCCACCTCTGAAATTCTACGATTTTCTGACTCCTCTAAGCTAACGTTGGAGCCAATATTTAAACCCAGTTCTCCAGACTATGAACCAGGTTTTCTCTTACACTGTTGGGTACCATTCTTGATGAGTAAAGCGTAGGTGTGTGTTGGAGTTGTCCTCACGAAGTTGGGCCCATGGTGACACAAGAGCTCTGGTCTCTTGCTAGAGAAGGTGCTCTCCTGGTACCTGTGACTAGAAGACGGGGAGGGAGAGGGATAAGGATGTATCAGTAGTGACTGATGACTGAGCGAGGAAGAGGTTCCAACTCTGTAGGCCACGAGTGAGGCAAGATAACTTTTGTTTTCTTTCTTTTTTTTTGCTAGCCAATGGCTTGCCCAGGTTCACACAGCTAGTAAGTGTCAAGTGTCTGAGGCCGGATTTGAACTCAGGTCCTCCTGAATCCAGGGTCACTGCTCTATCCACTCCACCACCGAGCTGCCCCCAACTTTTGTTTTCTTTTGAGGTCGTTTCTTTGTAGGAACTCAGGAAGCCTCCCCCTTAGATTTCTAGCAAAGTGGGGAGGGTATCTCTCTTCCCTTCCTCTTCCTCAGCAGCAATGGTGACTGCATGGTGAAGACATGCACTGGTCTAGAAGAACTTGAAACTATCTCAAGCACAGATGTGCTGGTAAATGTTTAAGAATCAGATCTCTGAAAAAAAAATTAAGCCCAACACACTTTTTAATTTAATCTGCATTATTCATATTTTCTTGATCGCTGAAGTCTAGATGATCAAAAAAACAATGATTTTGTTTTGATTTGATAAAAAAAAAAAGCATTGTTATATAGCACTCCCTAATTTCCAAGCTGTAAATGTTCGCACTGAAAATTTAACAGTCAGCTGTCATGGACCTCTTTGAGTTGGCTCCAGCACCCCCTGAACTCAAGTCCCTGGCTGCCTCTTCTGTTTTATGATTCTTTTTTGTTTTGTTTTGTTTTTTTAGGCAATTGGGGTTAAGTGACTTGCCCAGGGTCACACAGCTGATAAGTGTCAAGTGTTTGGTCTGAGGCTGGATTTGAACTCAGTTCCTCCTGACTTCAGGGCCAGTGCTCTATCCACTGTGCCACCTAGCTGCCCCATGTTTTATGACTCTTTCCCTAAGCTGAGGTGACTGAACATTGATATTAATGGGATGTTTTCAGTTTAAATAGCTACTCTGTGTGCCCAGTAAGGATCCAGAATCTCTTTGAGCTTCTGAGGTAGACACCAAGGCTAGAACCATCCATCTTAGCATCTGTCCAGTCACCAGTACTCGGGGAAAGAAGCACAAAGCAGAGGAATCAGCCAGGGCCTTGAGATCCAGTCTCAGACTCATCTAGGAAAGCATCTGTACCCACTGTTACATGCATGAGTCACTATAGCTGCTGCTGAGGAAGGGAAGGGAAGGGGAGGGGGTCCCCTTCCCTCCTCACTGGAAATCTGAGGGAGAAGTGTCAGTGGGAAGCGTTTCAACCCAACCTCCAACTAAGAAAGGGCAGAGGAGAGGTGTAGACAAGGTGCTATGTGAGGACTGAAGAGGAATAGGTAATTCCTGACTGAGGAGGGGAGAGAAGGCTTCCTGAACAAAATGGCACCTGAGTTGAGCTTTAAAGAATCAGTGGGGGTATAGAATATTTCCGGAACAGCTCTGAGAGTTCAGGGAGGAAAAGGTGGGTTGGAGATTTTGATTTTGGAGGTTTGGGGAGTCTGAAATGTTTGATGAATGAGCTTTGACTTTATTTGCTAGACAGCGTGGAAGCATTGTCTAGCAAGGAGGGGAGCAGCATGGTCAGAACCGTGCCTCCAGAGGACTATTCTGACAGTTGCCTGAATCATGGAGTGAGGGATTGGAAGCAGGTTATTGTTAACATCCTGATGAAGGGTAGCAAAGGTTTGGATTAGCATGGTGGCCATGGCAACAGAAAGGAGGGAAATAATTGGAGACATCTTGTGTAGGTAGACTCATA